TTTATCCCTTCCCTCTCCTCTCTCCCTCCCTCTCTATCCCTCCCTCCCTCTCCCTCCCCCTCTCTCCCTCCTCCCTCTCTTCCCCCTAAGCTGTGCTGCGCTGGCTGCCAACGGCAGGACCACCGGCAGCGCGAGGCGAGCTTGAAGCGTGCCAAATACCCGAACCCGCGAAATGCACTCCAGACCCCCCCCCTCCCCATTTTCTACCAGGCCATCCGCAGAATTATATATCGGTGATCAGTGTGTGCGATATCGTGCGTGAGGGTATTAATGGGCATTGTAACTAAACCGTTGTTACACAGAAAAATAAAGTGTTCAACTAGCGTGCATAAGTGATCCACACTATGTTGCACACTTTTAAGTGTTTACTGGATATTTGCATACTTTGAAGCGTTTAACAGCAAATTTGAACCATTTAAAGTGTCCAAAGCTTCATATTAAACCCAGATATTGAACACTTTTAAGTGTTCACCTCTATACTGTTGAACACTTTATAGCATTCAAATATTCTGTCAAACACGCTAAAGTGTGCGACATTGTGTGGAGCACTTGCAAGTGCACGCCACTTGAACACTTTATTTTTCTGTGTAACGACGGTTTAGTCATAAGGCCCAATACAATTCCCTCACGGACGATATCGCACACACCGATATGTACCGCTTTAAAAACCGCGGAGCGGTGTAGCCTGACGTGCAGGCTCCCATAGCGCCTGTTGGGTGGGCAACATATCGCCTGCGGTGCCCACGTGTAATGCGGGGTGGCCTACCCGGAACCTCGCAGGCGCCCACCTCCCGTAACGATACCCTGAGACAAAATTCAATTCGTGTGAAGTACCTATCTGGAGCTCTTTATATACCAGTTTCAGACCCCCCCTCCCCCTAGCTCCACCAACGCAGCTGCGTCGCTGCGTCATTCCGAAGCCCCAGAGGGCCAAAATGGAAACGGCCCTGCGTCGCGACACTGCTCAACACCTCTCCGCCCGCCCCGCGGAGACAAAGGGCTGAAGGAGAGAAACCCCTTTCGTGGAAGGTGACGTTGTGATGCTGAGCGGTCATGTCGTCAAAGCGCACTACTATAGTAGTGTACTGCTCTACCTCTACCACCCCCACCCCTAAAGAATTAAAAAAACAACGAGAAAATCAATCCACTCAATCAAGCCTCTACAATCTCAAAGTTGCCAAATGCTTCACCCGGTTTAGTAAATAGCATGTGAAAAAAAACGAACCGTGGGTGCGACTTTCGAATAACGTGCTGCTGTGTCTCCTGCTGTTTTGATCTGTCTCTTGTCTCCCTTTCTTCTCCTTTTTTCGAGCTCCACATGCGAAATAAGGCATCGAGAGAGACGGCGCGGCGGCGTGTGGATCGCCGTCCTCGAGAAAACTTCCCAGAAGTCATCATCACGGGGGCCTCTTTGACTTTCCCAGCGGCACCCCCCCCCCCCATCCCCCTTCTCACCCCCCTTCCCCCTTCCACTTTCCTGTGAATATGGAATGTGCAGCACTCTTCATCGCCGCGCGCCAGCCGCGAAGCAATACGCCGCAGATCCGCCGCGCGCGGCCCGACTACACCGCGCGAGCGGGTCATTTTAGGCGGGCTGGGGCGAAAATATCACGTATCTCCGTACCGTTACAAAACCCCACAGAGGAAATGTCTACGGAGCACCCTGTCAGTTTGCCATCAGGTCTACTGTGAAAAATATCGTCGTAAATTTACAAAAAAATTGTAAACTCGAATTATAACTGAAGTTGTAAATTTACGACAGCACATTTTTTACTCGCCAAGGGATTTGAAGTCGATACATACTGCAAGTATTTTTACGATTTCAAATTGTAATTTTACAACTTGCGTCAAGGAAAATTTTCCTTTAAACCTACGTACTTTTTTCACAGTGGTCAGAGACTGTAATTTTGGACTACGGTCCACTTTTTGGTCAATACAGCACTTGACTTAGACACTGAAGTCCGGTCCATATCCTTACATAAAATATACAGGATGGACCGTAGACAAAACGGACTTCCTTATACAGCAATTTTAAGTGTCGCTGGGGGATGCTTTTATTATGGCCTCACAACGAATGTTTTTGGAATCGACAATTAATTAAGGAGGCGATAAGGATGTCATTATACCGCTGTAAATGAGTTGGCGTCTTATGACGCCAAATTTTGTCGTCCTATAACGCCGTATCCTAAAAGACGCCAAATTTTGGCGTTGTAAGTCGCCAAATTTTGGCGTTCTTTTACTGGACGCCAACCCTTTTACAGTGACTGTTTCTCTGAGCATATTTTTTTCAGAGGGGCTATGTTAATTTTACCATTGTACACCCTGCGTAAAATATTTTAGGGTGGATGTTGTCTTCCATGTTGCAGCAATGATAGGCCAAGGGCCAAGGGATCTGTAAATATGAACTACGATCGTTTGTCCCATTTTTTCTTCTCCTTTTTCGTTCTGGTTTGCGAGGAGAGCGCGCTTGTTAGACCAACTTTCACATTAACTATCCCATTTCAGAGGACCCGCGCTGATGGTGAAAAAATACACTCACAATGAAAGAGATGAGGTGGATGATGCATTGGGCAAATTATCATCCGTAAAATTTGTTTTCATGAGCATTTCTCTCATAAAACGCGGCCCTTTCAGAGGGTAGATGGAAACACCCCACCCCTATTTCCCCACCTTTTGTGAACACGTAATACACGTTTTCTAGAAATAAACATCAGTTTCTCGTGAAATGCGTGCGGTTGAAGCCATGCGTTGCCATGCAAACGAACGAACGTGGTTCCCTCTGGCACGTCGGCGGCGTGGAGTCGGTCTCCGCCACGTGGGGATCACAATGAAGGAGGGGAAGCCCCACGCTGAACCCGGGCGACCCTTTCTCGCGCCTTCCAGGCCATAGGGCGGCAACCAGATGGGCCGCCCGGAATAGAAACACTCCATTATTTGCCGCACAATACAACATGCGATACATGTAGCAAACAGCAGTTTCCATGTCGGTGGGATAGCGTACCACCTCATACCCTACCACTCCGCTTACTCCAACCCCCTACCCCC